CTCGAGTTGCAACCAGAGTCACAGAACGGATTAAGTTCGTAACTAGAGGTACCACTGTATACTTATTGTGATCTTGAAATTAATTTGGAAAAAGATTGACTTTTAAATTTATTAGTCACCTCAGGGAATATTTCAAAAGAGCTCAGTATGAATCTTACGTTGGAAGTATAAAATGGGTGAGGGACACTTACTCATATGATATGGGTTTTTCCCATTATACCCTGTGCTGGTTTAATAACTATAATTTTGTTAATACGGTGTTGCGCGGATCAATACCATTTAAAGATGTGAATATATATTTGAGCAAAAATTGAACTTATCACTACATGAACAACAGCAGATTTATCAAGCATGGGGTACAGCAAAAGAAATTAATCTCTGATATTGAAAAGACAAGGTGAGCCCAGTATGTCATTCTTGGATCAATTATATGTTCAGTATTAACTTCTGTCTGAGAACTGGCTTCCTATAGGTATAGCAGAAAGACTGATCAATATTACTCTGCATGATCACAGCCTGATGATAACGTTAAAACTGGAGTGATTGATTTCTGTATGTGTAATATAATATGTTTTTATAGTTTTCTTTTTTCTTGTTCCGTATATTGAAGTATAAAAATAAAAATAATTGGTATCTTGGAATAGTGACATTTACTCCCAGGTAGACATGTATTTGATGGTCCCATTAATCTCACTGAAAGCGGAAGGAAACAATCCTGGACTGTATTTTGCAGCACTTCAGATTTGAAGGCAAAACAGATGTTCTGGAGGATGTGGCTGCACGTATAGCCCTTGCCTGCAACTCCTTAAAATGAATACAGTGTGTCTCTTCCAGGGTCGTGCTTCAGCTGTGGACGGCAGCCACACGATCGTGGGAAAAGATGCATCTGCTCTAAGGAATTGCAGACAGGTGCTAAGTTCATGACCTTACACACTCCAGAACACTATTTTCCCTTTGTATCTAAAATACTGCCCAGCCCTTATATCGGATGGAACTAATACCATACGCAGATTAACAAAGTCAACGTAATTTAAACATTTTCCACAGCACTGAGGAAAACTAAGCATCCTGTCATTGATTTTAAAAGTTATTAACTTGCTCTAAAGTCCTACGCCCATGTTTGAGTTGTAGTGGATTTAGGAGCCCATAGGCTAGATAGTTACTCTAAATATTTTATAAGTATTTAGTAAGAGGCAGGGGAGGGGACTTTGGGCTAGAAGATAGAGTTGGAAGTTTCTTGTTCCCCATTCTGTTCTGGGTGCAGCTTCTGATGTAGGAAGAATGAGATGTAAATTTCCTGACTGGGGAGCAGAGTAATGTTGGCAGAGAAAGTATAGACAGAAATGTCAGGGGTCATTTATTAGCTTTGCTCACCTTCACTCACATTTTCTGTCTATTTGAATGTTTGCTGATTAATGATTTCTGCATGGAGTTGGAGGGGTGAGGAACTGGACTGGAGGAACATGTAAACCTGAGTAAATAAATAAATAAATAAATAAATTTTGCACGGAGGATTATTTTCAATCAGAAAAGGTTTTACAAGAAATCAGTTAACTGCATTTAGCATTATTCTGTTTATCCAATATATTTTAAGTAATAGTTTTGAGTTGCTTCCATATTTCTGTAATAGAAAGTAAGAACTGTTATGAAGTTCCAGACATGACTGTAAAGACATGCATTTTACTGCATTAACTCATAAAGTAATGGCATTCCCCCCAAAGACCTCCCAGCTTCACCCTGCTATTGTGTAGGAAACTTCTCAAAATATGGGTGTTTTTAGTAAGTCCTAGGGTTGAGTGATTTGTGGCCCTGCACAGAGCATGGGTGTTGATGTGTGTAAAAATCAGTAACATGATAGAAGTGGCATTGTAATCACTATCTTGGGGATTTTGAACTTCCTGTAGGTCCTGCTATATTTATATATTTCCTCCTTCAATATGGAACTGTTATATATATATATATATATATATAGTTTTTTTTTGTTGTTTTTGTCATTTAATGTATTGCACATCACTTTGGTGAGTTACTTCGGTAAGGCAGCTTATTTCAGTAAGGCAGCTCACACTAATAAAATCACATCCGTGAACAATAAAGTTAAAAAAATAAACAGCCATACGTTTTGTGCTTATTCAGTCTGAATGGATTTAACCTCTAGAGAATTTCAATTATGTGCAATGGATCGTTATGTGTACTGATTCAGAAATAAGTCGTATTGCCTTCACTAGGACTCACTCCAACGGAAATATGTATTGGATTACATTAGCTTTACTATATTGGAAATAAGGCAACTTGAAGGGCTGTTTGTAGAATGAGAACACATTTGTATTGGGTATAAAAATTGGAAATGTGTGTTTCTTTCTTCCTTTCACACAGGTTACTATTGTAACTGTGAAAATACAAGGCTGAGGTCCTGAGAAGCTTTGCAGGTGGTTCACTTCCAGCAATAGCACTTTAGATATGTTTTAAGTATGGTTAGTTACATGCATAAGAAATCAAAAATCACTGTTCTTTCTAAGAAAGAAAAGCTTTTGAATCCTAATATGGAACCTCTCAACCTATCTTTTCTAACATCTAACCTCCGTTTAATCTGGCCACTCCTGTGGTTTTATACCTTTTCATTTTATGAATTAGTATATTAGCATAATTATTAGCATGACTAAATTATTAGTTTCAGAAGGACAAGGGAGAGAGATTATGCAGAAGACGTAAAAAACACACATACTAGTATTATAAAAAAATAAAACTGTTGAGATTTTAATTTCACAATAACTTATATATAAATTAGCTTAAAATTTTATGATTGCATATTTATATCAATATTAAATAAAGGAATATAAACAGGGTCATTTGGAGACAGCACAGTTAATTGTCCACTTCTGCTCCGGACTCATCACTATCTTCCTCACTCTCTGATTCGTCATAAAAGAAAATTGTGGCTTGGACAGGAAAGTTCCTCAGAAGTGCTTCAGCTTCATGATATAGATAGTCAAAACACCTTGATTTGGGCCAGAATAACCTAAAACAAACACACATGTTTGTAATTTAATATTTAAGGGATGATTAAAGATTGCTTCATCCCGGGCTTCATCTCAATCTAGTTAACCTACCATTAGCTTGAAATAAATCATAGCTTCTTTAATATTAGTAGTATTTAACAACAAAATGGAACTATACACAACTATCCTTTTCTTTTTATGCCAAATATGTGCTCCTGAATTAATTAACACATAGGTTTGTTAAAAGATTGCCTTTATTGCTCTCAGGGGAGTTAAATGCTTTTCAGTTTGTAAAACCACAGAGATCAAATTTGCATTAACATTCTACCTCGGAATCTGTCATAAATCTTTCACAAAATATACTGTGATTTGATAGGAGAAATTTATTTTCTAAATTTATTTTTAAATACATATCGGTTCTGTTGTCCATATGAATTTGCTAATGCTGAAATTCTACACCCAAACCTTTCAAACAAATGGTAAAGTAAATATCTAGGCAGAACAATAAACACTGGAGATTCAAAAGCACCTTCTGACACTGAAACTATTCATTTATGACTGCCACTTTATTGAGCACATCCAAGAACATTCAACAGGAATATTCTAACTTTTCTCAAAAGGAGCTTAAGATCAGAAACTGGTTTTTAAAACTGGAAGGATTTTAAAATAACCGTAAGAAGTGCACACAGGCAAGAAGACATGGTAAGTTCAAGGCCACACTACTCTTAATTACAGTAAACATGACCCCAAACATACATCTGCAGAAGTACTACAGTACAAATAACCAGCAATGCTTGTGGGAAAAATCCCAGATTGAAGGGGAATCTTTGATTTTCCCAATCAACATCCCCACTTCTATTCCTGTTACAAGGCAATAAAGTAATGAAATTGATATTTCACTTTACTAGACCAATAATGTTAAAGCACACAGTAAATGCTTAATGAGAAATTCAGATTTTATTCAACACATAAGTCATTTCACATCTAAGGTTTCCCTTGTGTTCCAGAAATATTCTTTTTTGAATACAGGTAGTCCTCGACTTACGACCACAATTGGGATCGGAATTTCCATCGCTAAGTGATGCAGTCGTAAAGCATGACATCACGTGACCGCATTGCTTAGCAATGGCAATCCTGGCACTCCCCACTGCCATCGTTAACCGAATTCCACCGGTCATTAGCCAAGGACCAACCATTCCTAGCTTAGTCCCTCCCAGCTCCGAGCCTCGGTTCTTCCAAGGTAAGGGACTGCCTCTCCTTCAACTGCCCCCAACTACCTACTCTCCCCAATCTCTGCCCTTTTGGCTGCCCTGCACCCTGCCTTGTAGGGCAGCAAGCAGCCCCAGAACTGCACAGCTCTGGGGCTGCTTGGCACGCTGCGGCTCAGATGCTTCTTGGCACACCATGGCTCTGGGGCTGCAAGAAGCCCCTGAGCTGCAGCAGAGTGTGAAGCCCTTTGCAGCGCAAAGCCCAGCTCCAGCACAGACCAGCAGCATGGCGCAAAGCCACAGCCACCCCAACCCAATCCCAGCCACAGTCACCCTCATCACCCTGCACTGAGGCCCCAGCCCCCAACCCTCCACCTCCCCAGCTGACTTTTGCCATCTTCTTGCTCCTGCTGCTGAGGCGTGCCCATCCTGGCCCTTTGCGAGGCAGCTGCTGGCCACGTGAGGTCATCTTCCCCAGGTCTTGCGAGGAAATCACCATGCACAACCTGGGGAAGAAAGCCTTGTGTGGCCAGCAACTGCCTTGCAAAGGGCCAGGCCAGGCATGCTTGGTCAGCAGCAGGAGCAAGAAGACGGCGAAGGTCAGCTAAGTCAGCAGGGGCCACAGAGTGTGGGGGGCCAAAAGGGCATTGATGGGGGGATGATAGGTGGGTGGGGGCAGCTAAAGTGCCCCTATGGTCATAAGTGTGGGTGGGCTGCCAAGTGCCCAAATTTTGATCACATGACTGTAGGGGTGGTCCAACAGCCGTAATTTCAGGGATTGGTCATAAGTCCCTTTGTTCAGCGCCACCATAACTTCAAACAGTTGCTGAATAAATGGTCATAAGGACTTACCTGTACATCCTTCTAATTCAGATACTGTTGTAATGCGAGTACATCTAGAAATAACAAACTCAGAACCTGATCGTACACTGAATATCTAGTGAGTCCATTCATTCTCAAAGTGCAGCCTTAAAAAAATCATACCTCTTGGCCAAAATGCTTAAATAATCACCCTGCATAATCAAATAAGCATATATTGAAAAAAATGGTAACCAGTCAAATGCAACTTCTCTGGCAAAATTCAAGCACGTTGTGTCTTATCTGTAGATTAAATGGGGTTCAAATATATCAGGTGGGGAATCTGTGGCTGCAGTTTTTAATAATTTTGGACACTTAATGATTCCATGGAAGTTATTAATATTTATGCCCAATGAAGGAAGTTTAGCACTGCACCAAAAATTCTACTTTGTCACTTACTACAGTTGCACCTATAATAGGGCAGTTTTCCATTATTTGTGAGAAAAAACCAGGGGCATTTTTTTGAGTAAAAATATGCAGCATGGCAGAGCTCTAGTTCATCCTATGCAGACTGTGCTGTTTTCAGAGAAGGTGACTAAGTCTGTAAAGGAGGAGGGAAACCATCTTGAGATCCTTAGCTTCTGATAAGGATCCACAGTGTAACTGGTATGCAGCTGTAGGAAAGACAGAAACGTTGACTGTGGTGGTTTGGACACATCTGCTGCACGGACCTATGCCGATTTCCTTATCAACTGCTTTGAAAATCATGCCCCATGGTTTGGGAAGTACAGTGATCAGCTCCAAAGAAAACTTGGCTGAGTTTGTGGCCTTGGATCAGTCAGCAAAATTCAACCAAATAATAGTTCTAGGGATCCTGTTCTTGACTGTGATGCATAAGCATGAGAAGGGCAGGATATGTATTTCATATAAATAAATAATAAAAAAAACATTGAGGCAGATGCTGCAATTTGGCCACCAGGAGGAGCAGAAGAACAATACTGTACAGGTGACAGCTTTAGAGTCAGCCTCAAGATCTTTCCCCATTGCTGAAGTGAAGTGCTTAACATTCAGCCCTGAGTCCACAAAAACTGTTCGCAACCCCTACCTGACCTCTGTTGCTTCACTTGCCAGTCACTGTGGTCCCCTCATTTCCCTCCAAAGTCATGGTGACAAAACCTAACAGAATTTATACACCTTCAGGCAGAGGCCTCTGCAGGATCCAACATTTTCAGCGAAATGATGAAAGCCATACAGCATGGTCACATCACCAGCATTACTCTTTCACATATGCATAAAAAGGGGCAAAAGTCAGTGACGTGATGGGGTCATTTGATGCCTCGGCTTTGAGAATGAGACTGTCCTTGGAGGGAGTCAGACTACGTGCTATCTTAACACCAGTACAGTTAAGGAACTGGTCAGGCTGTCTCACTTACAGGCTTGGGTGGAGATGAAGGCAACATCAGAGGAACATGGCAGAAAAAGATATTACCAGGGCAGGTTTGTGACATGGTAGAACCATAGCCTAAGACATTTAGGTGCGCAGAAAACAGTATCCCTTCCATTCAAGATGCTGAATCCCAACATCAGGTCAAACTCTTCTAGTACCTGAGACAGAAAATCCTTCAAGTGTACTTTGAAATAAGGATAACATTTATTTCAAAAATAAATGCATTTTCACTGCCTCTTCCTTTCCCAGACAATAAAAATTAAAAAAAAAAAAGTAAGTAATATTTGCTGCCTTCTAATTAGTTCAAAAGGCACACTGCCAACTGATATGGCCAGCTCCAGACCAGATGAAAAATCATCTATTTTAACTGCCATTGCACATGCTAAAAAGAATAAAGACATAAGAAAACATCACCAAAACCACAAATTAAAACAACATGAAATATGGAAGACACAGGGAGAAAATCTTCTTAAGGTTTTGGAATAGTTTGAGAGGCTAGAAATATTGGGAAATCATGTTGAGAAGGCTATTTTATTTATTTTCATTATGTTTTAGATTAGTTTGTTCTATCTATATTCTGCCTTTCATACAGCAGCTCAGGATATCCTACCCAGTGCTCCTTATTTTTCCACAGAGCAATCCTGTAAAATAGATTGGGTTAAGTGAGAAAGAAAGATAGTCACTGGCCAAAGCCACTCAGGGAGCTTCCAGCTACTAGTTTAAAGCCTGATAAGTTTTGTGTGATTTCAGATGTTATAAATAAACCTCTTACATATAAACCTATCACTTTTCTTGCCACCTTTCTGTATGATTAGCTACTATCTGAAAATATACAATTGATGGCTTCACCTATTGGATTTGTTCCCAGTAGGCAGCAGGTAAGGGCCCAGGAGCCCTGCTGGGAAAGATGGAAAAAATAATCCTGAAAGTTTCACTGATACTATGTTTTAAGAAAAAATGGAAATGGTTTTGTCTTACCTGACTGGATGGGTATATTGTGCGAGTTTTGCAGAGTCTTCTGTAGCCTCAGAAGGGCTGTGCAACTGGAGCAGGAAATAAAAGGTCAATATAGAATGGTTGAAAATTAGGATATTTTCAAAAGGAAGGAATCTGAAATTGGTAATGGAAGTTATTTATTTATTTATTTATCAATTTTATATAGCTGCCCATCTCAGGAATTCAGCATACAATAAAAGAAAACAATAAAAATGATGTTATTATTACATATTTATATTTGTTTGTTGGGTTTATATCCTGCCTTTCATTCAAACAGTGTACCTAGCATGGCCTCCTCCAGTTTTTTTCCTTCAGCAGCAACCTTGCGAGGTAGGCTGAGCTGAAAGGGAATGACTGGCCCAAATTCATCCAGTGATCTCAAAGGAAATATTGGATTTCATTTTAGTCAGTATGCAAAATCTTTGAGCACCTGAGGCACTCTAGTGCAAGGGGCGTGGTTATTTTGGCAAAAAACCCCAGCAATGCTTCTCTCTCTCCTGATTGTAAAATTATAATCATCATAAATCTTAAAATACTAATTAATAAATTGCTGCCTTTCATGGTGCCCAACATAAGCTGATATATCACATTGTGAAACGACCTAACCAATTTAGGAATTACATTTCAATTACACTAGCTACACGTGCAAACTGCTTCAGTGATGAAAACCACTTTGTTCTGCTCCCTAAATGAACCTTCCAGCTTTTTTTTTTTTAAAGGGTCCTTCGTGGAATGCGGTGCGATCTTTATTATTGCCAATGTGCCAGTATCTCACATACTACTCTAGAAGTGGCGGTCACTGTAAATGTCAGACATTTCCTTCCTTTTTAGGTTTCCCCATTCACAGTACGCCAAATTGAAAGAACGCTGAATGAGTTAACTAAGGAAGACCGGCTCGTGCAGCATAACCCCACGTGGAAAGCCTGTCACCATTATCAGTGGCGGACACACTCACCGCCTCCTCGTTTTGCACACGTTGTCTTTCGGCATCTTCTGGGGTGGGGATCCAAGGTCTCCAGAACCCTTCGGACCTGCAAATAAATTAGACACGCTGCGTTAGCCGGACCGGCTCCATTTTTCCCGCGCGATCAAGAAGCCAGCGTGGAAAAGGAGGGGACGGAGCCACCCCAACGCTTGGCGCCGGTGGCCCCTTACGGGCCCTCGAGGGGACTGCGCTCGACTGGGGCAGAGCTGGCTACCCTGAAGGGTCTTGGGAGCAGTTCCGGGAGTTTATGGGTCCAGGCGGAAGAGGGCTGCGGAGGCAGGGCTGCGAATTCGCCATGCTCCGAGGCTTGCAGCGCTCAGCCCAGCCGACGCGCTGGCAAAACGTTGCAGCCTCTCTTTCCGCGTCGTCTCCCTGGGCTGGGTTGTGGATCCGTGGTGCTGTCGCCCGAGGGGTTTTTATAACGATTGCTTAGTAGCCTCCCAGCCACCTTATCTCATTTGCCGGAGAGGTAAACAAAAAGGCTGCGCGTGAAAGCCGCATCGGGGTAAACAAGGAGCGTGGACGCGTGCAAGCTCCAAATGGCCCAGGGAGAGATTTGGCGAGTGAGTGTTAATCACACTTGAGCAGACACATGGCTGTTGTCATTAAGAGGGGACGCTCACGCTTGGGCTCTCGTTGGCCGTGTCCAGTGTGAGAAAGCCAGGGAATATCCAGAGTTTGTGCTGGAAGGAACAGCGCTTCCGGGCTTTCTATTCCACGCGCTGTTGCAATATTACTATCCGTTCATTTATTAATATATTTATACTTTGCTGTTCCAGATATGGAAATCTGAATAGTCTGAGCAATCGGATAATAGAATTAAGCAATAGAAATAGTGCTTAATAATTTAAATTGTACCAGCAAGAAGAGAAAGGAGGTAAGACAGAACAGTTAAAAAAGGAAGTTATGTGGACCTCCTAGAGCAGGGATATGCAACATAATGCCTTCCAGTTATTTTGGATAACCACTTCTATAATCCCTTGTGGTTAGCCATGCCAGCTAGAGGAGACTAGGGGTCAGAGTCTTAAAAGATCTGTAGGGCATCCACTTGCCTGGCATTTCCCACCAGAGGTTGGTACAGTCTACAACAGAAAAGGGTTTGTCTTAAGCCTTTACAAGAATAAGTAATATTTGCTGATAGGAATACTGATCTTTGAAACTTCCTAGGCCTGAGGCACTTACTTTTTTTTAAAGACCCATACTATCATGAATAACATTCCAGAATATATCTGCAGCCAATGAAAATACAGCAGTAGAGACTTCTTTCTTTTGGAGGTGGCTCAGTCAACGATTTGCAACCTTCTTTGGAACAACGGAAATTTCCTGGAAGTCTTAAATCAGCATCATATAGAGTCCATTCCATATATAGGAATTCCATGTTGTAATAGTCTGATAGAGCTCAGTAAAAATAATACCCTACCTTATTAGATTCTAAAATGTTTCTAATGAACAAATATGGCTTTTTCTCTGTTGTAGTAATTTAATTTTCATGTGACTAGAGCTTGTGTATCCAGTAAAGTCATTCCTGTCCAAGAAGAATTGCAGTCCACCTATCAAATTTGATAAAAGGCACTTTAAGTCATAGAATCCATGTGGGTTCCCTGAGTAAGAGCTGTTTCTAAAATTACTGTTGAAGCTTCAAAGCCACCTTTTCAGAGAACAGTATAATAAAATGATTAGTATCAAACTAAGACTGGGGAGATCCCTGAAATAAGAGTTTCTGACTTTGCAGAAATAATGGAATGAAAAAGGTAGAGAGAGAATCTTGAAACAGAATAGGGTCAATACTACTTCGGTCTTACCTGGACTGAGTTAAGTTTTACTAGATTATTCTAGAGTACTGGAGATCCCAGACACTGATTCAGCATGTACACTGAACCATCTGGCTAAGATAGCAAGGAGGAATGGATCTGATAATACTTAACTCCAGTTCTCTGAGTTACTTTAATTAGTGGTTTTATATATGTTAAAAAAATGATGCACAAATGTCAAGGAGCAAAGCTAAATATTACAGCATTGACCTATGAATCACCAAATTATGCTGCCAACCCAGAAAAGTGCCTGATCTGTGATTGAAAGTAGGAATGTGAAAAACGTTGCATGCGCAAACAGTTCCACGCATGGTACAGCTGGTTTCAGAAGGTCTGTTTCCAAACCCAAACACACTTGTTTTGGGTGCTTTGGGTCAGGCACAAAACAAAACAGACTTCTTTTGCTCCATGCATGGAATTAAAAGAATTGTTTAGTTCTGGGGAAAGCAGTTGGCTAAGGAAAAACTAAGGACATTGGTGGCGCAGGAGAGGCAGGTAGGAAACCAAGGAAAAGAAGATGCTAGGAAGATATGAGTATGGGCAAGCTGGATCATCAACATTGGTGGCAGCAAGGAGAAAGGGGGGAAGGTGCTAAGAAAATCAGGGCAGGGAGTAGGATATGGAAGGGCGACAGAAAGCATTGAGAAGCTCGGGGAGACAGGCAGACCAGTGAGATGGGCTATTATGGGAGCTGGGGGGGAGGTAGAGGGGGGCAGCACACACCAGCATCACACTATTTGCCCAGTGAAGATTTTGCTTTGTATGAAACTTGGAACAGCCAAAGCTTTCCAACTTTTCATTCTACTGAAACATAGCTGACCCAAAAAATTCAGGGGAACCACCATAATATGAAGGCTTATTCTGGGGTTCACACTAACATTTCCCCTCTTTTGTGCAGACCCCTAAGGATCCTAACTAACAGGGGCTCCTATCTTTCTTCCAGTACTGATTGTTGTTCAGTGTGACCAAGACTGTTTCTGTATCAGATTTACGCCAGTAGCATAAATATTATCAGATAGTTTGGAAGGGACTGGAATTGGATCACCACCTGTTTTAGCATCTTTCTCAAGAAATAGATGGGAGCTGGAGTCCTTCTCTCAAGGAAGTGTTTATTATCTTTTGGACCTAACTGGCCACTACTGCTGGTTAGATCTAATCAACTAAAACAGTAAAGGTCAACTAGTAAAATGCTTTTGCTCCAACATCTTTTTAAGTATTCTGTTCACATCCTTGGCTCTAATAACTTATCCGAAGCAATAGCAGCAATCAGAATCTTTGCTAGCAGTTGGTATTTGCATGTATCACAGGCAGCATCCAGATCAACACGAATGTGAATGTATGAGTGATTTGATCTATAAAAAGCTTAAAAAAACAAGTCACAGCAGACAGCAAACAAACCAATGTAGCTTCTTCAGAATTTGCAAGAATCAAATTTTCCACCATCCAAAACGAATCTTGCTGGATGGTCTTTGGTAAATTGAATTATTGAAAGAAAGTAATTATATGTAAAACTAGTTCTAGAACCAAAGCAGAATGCTTGCATTGGACACTTCAGAATTCATGGCTCCTGGAACAGATTTGTTGGATTTAAACACACAGCTACAGTCAAAAGCTTACATATCTGCCGGCAAATTGCAGAGGAATCACTAGAAATATGTCATGTTTTAAGAAAGTTGTTCATGCTGTTTTAAATGAAGTTGCTTAGTCACTTCCAGAGGATCTTATGAGCTAAGGACACTTTAAAGCAACATACCACCCAATGCAAGGAGGGGGTCCACATAAATAAAGTATTAAGGTCTTTAAATCGGTTTAACTGTTCTCAAATAATATACAAAAATCAGCATTTTAATAGGAATACTCCATTAAAAAGTAATGGTATTGGAATGATAGTCATCACTGTACTTGGAACCGAGGAGTGAAAGAATTGCTTGAGAAAGTAAGATTGCACAATGAAAAGTTGTGTATCTTTGCATTACCATAATCTAACCAAAGGACATCCTCCCCATTTTTACATCGAAGTCATCATTACAACTTGTTGGACTAAAGGGTCTTGTTAGTATATCCACTGCCTAGCTTCCACCAGCAGAAATCTCATAGTACAAATGTCACTGACATTCTGCAAATAGTTAAGACTTGGTTGTTCTCCCAGGCCTTGGGTTGAGATGGATGGGACCCCTTACTGAGTGTGTCTTTGTTGTTTTTGTCTGTATACAGTGACCAGATCCCATCTTGTTTTGGTTTCTATTAGTTTTTTATGGTATTATATTGTGAGGTGCCAAGACAGCATTGGTTGGAGCTGGGCAATCCCTAAACTGAATTAAGTAAATAAAAGTAAATGAAAAGTAAAATCTTCTTCTTGCTAACACCCATGCCGTTTTCTTGACAACACTAATGAAGGTGATTTGCCACTGCCTTCTGGTATGTTTTTTGACTTCCCAATTGAGCCTACCGCCCTGGTAATTTCCCATCCAAGTAGTAACCAGTCCCAGTTTCTTAATTTCTTGGCCCAGACTGGGCTGCTGCCTGCTGAGGCTCTGTGAAGGGACAAGTACACACATGTCCATAACGTGTAAACACGCTACCACCCTATTGAGATTCTTACTGGTGAGAGCTAAGCCAGTGATTTTCAGGCATAGTAAATGGGGGCCTCTGTGTAAATCCAGTTCCTTAAGAGACATAAAAGCAGTGTTTCGTTTCTTCCTTTTTTAAAAATAGATTATTTACTTGGTGTGATGCAAGAAAACTTTCAGGGGGATTCCTAATTCGAATTGGTGTTAGGCAGAGCTGTGTAATCTTTTCCCTGCTGTTCAGTGTCATACTTGATGCTATAATGAGGCAAGGAAAGGCAGGTAAGAGGTACAGTATGATTAAACCTGCTATGTGACTGAACTCATGTTCACCAATGACAGTGCCATAGTTGCAGAGAGTGACACAGAAGGCACAGACATCTTATATGATATCCTGAATGCTGCCCACTCATATGACACAACAAAGGTTAATGCCGACAAAACAAAGGTCTCACACTCTGCTTCCTTCTTCAACAGGGTCCAGATAGAGCAGGTTAATCAGTTTAAATGCCTTGAGCCACTGGGAGAAGAACAGAAAAGAGCATCAAAAGCAGAAGAACACCCCAGCATTGGCCAGGCCACTGCTATCTTGGATCATTAAATTGGTGCTTGTGGAGAAAACAAAATGTTTCCGTGAAAACAAAGATGCAAATCTTCTGGGCACTAGG